GGCGGGCCCGCGGTACTTCCGGTCCCCGCCGAAGCGGGTCCCTGTCTGGAGCTCTGTGTGCTCGAGGCTGGACTCGCCGGTCCACTCTCGTCGTCTAGGAATTCCGTTGTCTCGCTCATGCTGTCGTCGTCGCAGATACTTCTTTCGGAAAGGTCGGTCAATGGACCGCAATCGCTACCACCGCGAAAATGTGCGCCGTGTTGCTCTTCGAGAAGATTACTCAGTCCACCGAGACTCAGTTTCATCGGGCGACTCAGGTCTACCGGTTTGCTCAGATCCAAAGGAGATTCACCGCTGTTACCGCCTGCCTGATGGTTCGCGGTTTCTTGTTTACCGTTGCTGGCGTGAGCCTGTAGCTCACTGATATATCGTTTCATCGACTCCTCGTAATACTTCTTCAAAGATGCCTCCATGTCGGTGTTGAAAGGTGGGAACAGAGGAGGCATCATATTCGGCGTGCTCGGGTTCGAAGGAGCCGACTCCATCGAGAGTTCTTCGTCGGGGATATTATCGATATTAACTTCGCCACGCGCCACTTGATCGGCGTGTTTGCTGCTGAGATGGGATTCTAACGCCGATTTCACTTTGAACAACGCTGGACAGAATGGACAACGTTTGTTGATCACTTGGCTGTGCGCGCGGAATTGGCCTTTCCGTTCCCTAGCACGTGTATTTTGGAACCACACTTGAACAACACGTTTTTTCAGACCGACCTCCCGAGCGATGGTTTCTAACATCTTTCTCGATGGATTCGACTCGACTTGGTACTTTTGGTACAAGTAATCCAACTGTTCGGGCAGTATCGTCGTTCTCAATCGCTTGTCTTTCGGCTGCTCGTTGTGCTCGGAGTTCGAGCGGCTGTCACCTCCTGTTCCTTCGTCGAAATCATCGTACTTTCGCTTTCTCTCCTGCATCATAGCGATCAAAGGATGAGGACTATCGGCAGCTACTCCGGTGGTGGCGTTCAGTGCTTGTTGCTGTAGAATCCCGAAAGGTGAATCTGGTGGATAAGCCGGTGGGAAAAGGGATGGGTTCATGATATGTACCAGCTGATGTTCGCGCCACAGTTCGAATCGCCCGAACATCAAATTACACTTGTCGCACTGAAAGCTACCTTCCTTCGACTCGGTTTGCGACTGCGACTGTTGTTGCTGCAATGGTTGTTGCTGTTGCTGCTGCTGCTGCTGCTGCGATTGTTGTTGAGGTTGTTGATGCGTCTGGCCCATTGTTGTCTGCTGCTGATGGTGGGGAGGCGTAGTGGTGTTCAATGGTTGCTGCAACTGTTCCGCGAGAGCGGGAGTGTTCGTTGGGTTGCTGGAGACGGCGTTAGCAGTGGTGGTGGTGGAACTGCTGTTGCTATCTTCGGAACTGAGAACCGCGGCAACTTGGGCCGCGGCCGCCTGCGCTTGGGCGCTCCTCTTCGCGTCCTCCTCCTTGAAGCAGTGCGTCTTCTGATGACGTATGAGCTCGTAGTATCTCTGAAACACCAGCAAACACTTCTTGCATTGGTAATTCAAGCCTGGGGTCCGCTGGAAGCGGCCTGAACCGTCGTCGCCCTCGCGGCTGCCCGTTGTCACTGGCTCAGCGGCTGGCTGATTCTCGTACACTTTTCGTGCTTTCTGTCTAGCGTTCTGGAACCATACCACGATCACGCGCGGGCTCAGTCCAAGTAGCTTGCTCAGGTACTCCAGATCGTCGTCCTTTGGGTACGCGTTGTTTTCGAAGAATTCCTGAAGTACTTTGATCTGGTAGTCGGTGAATCTAGTCCTGTTAGCTCGTTTCCCGGAGCTGCCACCCGACGAGTTGTTGCCGTTGGTGTTTCCACCGAAGGAGTAGTCAGTTGGTCCACGCCCGGGGCTCAGGGATCTCTGGGGCGTTAGAGCCATGGCCGCAATGGCGCCTGGAACGACGCTACCAGCTCCGGGATTGGGGCTGGCAAAGTTTTGTGGTGTCAACTTTGGCGGGAGCATAGGAGTGCTTGGAGCGTTACTTGCCGATGAAGCGTGCGATGGCACATCGTGATGAATCCCAGAGAACACGGAGCTCATGCTGAGCGCCGGTGAATGCGGTCTCGACTGCTGTCCACCGGAGCTACCAGGAGAATGATGCTGCTGTTCTTCTTGATGCTGCGATTGTTGCTGCACGTGACACTGCGGCTGTTCTTGAATCTCTTGTTTTATTTCACTGGCCTGAGATGTATTCACGGTCGTCGTTGACGGTGGTGGTGTTGCTTGCTTGTTTGGACTTTTGTCATCCGAGGAACTGCTTCCAGATACGCTAGAGTTCAGCGGTGTCACTTTTGCCTCTCCGGTTTTTTCATATTCTTCGAGATTCAGAGTAGTGCTAGGTGGATTGTTGAAGTTGTACGGGCTGTCCTTGTTACGTTGCCGCTCTTTGAATAACGTGTTCCTGAACCAGTGTTTGATCACCTTCGGCGGTAACCCGCTTTGAGCCGCCATATCTAGAATCTGCTCCTCGCCGGGAGAATTGTTGATGTCGAAATGCGCTCGTAATATCTTTAGCTGTTCGTCGGTTATGCGCGTTCGCGCTCGTTTCTGCGAGGCAGCCGCGTTTGCCTGTAAGAAAAGGTCGCCTATGCTTTCTTTCTTGTTCGCAAATTCGAGTACGATTTACCACGCTGATATACGCTTTCAGATCGAGTGTCTGCTTTTAATTCGTATTTTATATACTTTAACATATCGTAGTTTCTCGTGAAGGTTGTTTATTGGAAGAGAACGAGTATACGATCGCATAGTGATATGATAATGATTGCAAATTGAAATATTAATGAATATGAAGATCGATATGACATAGAATAGTCTCGAACTTACTTAGTTTCATACTGACAATTTTCTATAATCGTATAAATTATATTTATAAACGCCTTAATTCTAAAATAATTGAATTAACATAACAACAGATAATAGAGTTTAACTGCAGATTATAATTATATTTTGCTCATAGATTATGAATTTTAAAAAAGCAGAGACGAATATCGAAAATTATTGGAACTCATAACAGAAAAATGACGGCTTGACTAAATAAAATACTAACTAACTTAACGAAGAAATTTAAACAAAACATAATAAATCTCTATAAAGAAGGAATCATAAAGTTACTCACGGCTGCTACTTGCTGTTGTTGCAGGGCGAGATGTTGCTTGGTCAAGAGGTCAGCTTGAGCATTGATAGGCGGATATCCGGTAGCCGTTCCATCATACGGCGGTGGTGGTAGCATCATCGGTACCAAAGGTGGTTGTAAATTCATAGCAGCCAAAGCAGGTATTCCAAGCGGTAGACCCATCATACCCATCACCAATCCAGGATACTGTTGGAAATGCTGCTGCAGTTGAGACGCAGCCATTGCGTTTAGAGCAGCTTGCATTTCGGTCATCTGTTGCGCAAGAGTCAATTGTGCATGCTGTTGTTGTTGTTGCTGCTGCTGTTGCTGCTGCTGCTGCTGCTGCTGTTGTTGTTGTTGTTGAATATGGTGCTGAGGATTGGTCGGCAATACAGTTGGAGTCGTAGAATCTGTACTCGATACTGGCGTGTTGCTTAATGCTGGAGTCGTTGCTGGAGTAGTAGAAGTAGCCTCTGGAGTCTTACTGACACGATCTTTGTTCTCATTAACCTCCTCTTTCTCTTTTTCACGTTGTTCTTTATCCGAGGAGAGATCTTGCGGCTGGTTAGAAGCTGGTGTCGAGCTCCTAGGTCCGGACGACGTAGAAGAAGACGTTGCAACAGTCACTACAACGCTCTTCTTCTCGTATTCACATTTAAATTGCTGAGCATATTTCTCTAAGAATTCGCGCGGCACCAGATCACGGTGTACTTCTTCGCAATGAGCTTTCAACACCCAAACGCTACTAAATTCCTTGTTGCAATGCTGGCAGGTGCTTCTGGTCAGTTCTGGAATAATGTCATCATCCGTATGGTCTTCAGCTTCTTCCTCTCTTTCACGAGCAGCTTGAGCAGCTAGCGCCTGTTTCTGTTGCTCCTGCTTCTGTTGTTCTTGCTGAGCTTGGAGCGCCGCAGCAGCTTCTTCTTCTTTACGTTGACGTCTTTGGTGGTTCTCATTGAATTGCATCACCAGATCGAAACCGAAACTTTCTAGAAGATGCTTGTACATTTGCGACGTTTTATGACGAGGCTGAGACAAAATATCTTGCGTTGTTTGCGAAGAATGCGTACTCTGCTGCATGTGTTGTTGTGGACCAGGTGTCGTAGATGAAGGAGGTGGAGTTTTCGCTGGTGTGGATAAAGGGAGCTGTTGAGACGCTATTTGTTGAAACAACGCCAATGGATTGCTAAATATGCAATAAAGTTGTTGGTGAGTGGCAAGCTGCTCCTGATTGACAAAAAGAGCACTGCATCGAGGACATGACAACATTGTTCCGCTGTTTCCAGAGGTGCTGGTGTTAACCGGTGGACTATTTGGGCTGCTTGGCGGAGGCTGTTCGATCAATGGACGTGCAAGATCCAACTGACCACTGGCAGCAAGATCTGGCAATTTACTGGCTCTAGTCTGGTGCAGCACGCTCCTCATGTGAATGTCCAAAGTACTGCCTTGAGAATAAGCTACCTTGCAAATGTTGCACTTGTAGGGTTTCTTGTCCTGGTCTTGCTGAGAATCAGGGGATTCCGTAGGACTAGCAGGCGGTACCACAGAGATTAATGTGTTGTTGTTGCCTTGCTCTTGCATTGCTCTCTTCAACTTGTGTAGATGGCTCACGCTGTTGTAATGAACTAACAGAATATTCTTCTGAGTAAAACTCTCCTTGCAAACTTCGCACTTGTATGGCCTGTTAGGATCCAGATACTTCTCCATGGGATAGGACATCTTTTCCCCTTTGCGGTGCAATAGCGTCTTGTTGTGTCCAGTCAAGTAACTCTGCCTGGTAAACGCGACTTTACAGCGATGACACTTGAACTTTCTCCCCGGATCGTGATACGAGTCCTCGGCCACTGTTTGACTATTCAAATAATCTTCTAAAAGACGTTGCTCCTTGTGTAATGGCGACGAGTCGCTCGCGTCACTCTCTTCCTCCTCCGCCTTGCTGGCATCATCCTCGATGTTCTGTTCTCCAACCAAATTCCCCTGCCTGCGAAGAGCTTCCTCCGTGAGAGCTTGAAGCAACGGATGAGCGTGCAGCAGGCTCTGCTTGTACTGTGCGAGTTCGTCTTCGTGTAGATCCGCGTGAGCAGATTCCAGATGTCTTTGGAGAGCCTGGACCGAGCGAAACGATCGTCCACAGAGGGCGCATTTTGTCGCATCTCGGATAGCGTGATACTGCGAGTGCTGTTGTAGCTTTTCCAGAGTCTTGAACGCGAGACTACACTGTCCGCATCGATACTTGTAAACGTGTTTCTCGCTGACGGCGAGAGTGGGTGTAGTTGCTGGATGAGTCTCCCTGTGATGTTGCTGTAGTTCCTCCAACGAGCGGCACACGCGTCCGCAGACGGTGCATCTGGTGAGCTCCTCGATCTCCTCGTTGGCTCCACGTTCGCTCAAATCCTCCTCTTGCGGCTGTTTCGTGGGGGTAGCCGGCGAAGTTGGCATCGTTACCGCTGCAGTCGAGGTGTTTCGCGGATTGTTGTTCAACCAATGGCTCTGGTCCACCAGTAACAGCAGTCGTTGTAAGCCGTCTGCGTTAACCGAGTGTATTTGCATCACGTGTTTCTCGAGCGCGGAACGCTCTTTAAAACCATCCTGGCACAGCGGGCACAACAATTCCGGCGGCGGCTCTTCCTTTACGGTCTCCGCTTTGTCCTCGGCATCTTGGACATGAGCCACTTGCAAATGTTGCCTCAATTCTTCGCGCGACGTCGGCTGATAAGTGCAATACGGGCAGGTGACTTCCTCCTGCTCATTCTCTGGGTCATTTTCCGTCTCCTGGTCGTTATCCGGCTCCTGCTTCACCTCGCTGCCACAGTCGCTACCTTCCTCTCGTCGTTCTGTAAATGAAACAGTAACAAGCATTCGCTTGGTGATCGGGCAGTCTCGTCGAGCTTAAGATATTTTTCGTCGCTTGAACGGTATTATTATATCGAGAGCGCGAGAAAGATAAATTCTTAACTAGTGTGCTGCTGATCTGATCGTTGATGAAACGATTTTTGTAAATAGAATTAGTTTAAATTAATAATCGTATACAGAGGCCTTTATATTTACGAAATAAATCAACGGTAATGAATGATTCAGCAGACAATTAATCATAGTTGGGCTACTAATAGCTAATAAGATATAGTCAGATAAGTAGCATAGAAACTTTGTTAGAACCCGAAGTACCTTCCTTTCAGCAAACTCGTCTCTTTTATTTTGAATATGTACTTTAATGTTAATTTTGGTGGTGTCTTAATGCAAAGCATCAAAATTTCCGAACGGTGAAAACCGGAAATCACGATGGTTACACACCGTGCAATTGGGCCGCATTAATGTTAACAGTTTTGATTCGTGCAACATAAATTCTTGTGCCTTAATATCACGATTACTATCGGCCGATAACGCAAACCTGTAATTCCCCCTTTCTATTAAGGCGTCGATAAATCGTCGATCGACATCAAAAATCTTAACAGCCGAAAAAATAACCATTAATCTTGCAGCTGCATGCGAACAGAGGCATGAGTCGATAATGTTGTGAGAGAAAGTAAATTACGTTGAACGGCAGCGAAAGCATTTCTGTCCTGTGACGTTCGATTTCGGTGTTCGATGTTACATTTCGTTAAAATCGAAGTCTGTTCTTTTATTCTAACTTTATATTAGATATCTCATAATCGAGATGTATCCTTGAATTAACCGATATAATTTGTAATAAATTATCGAATAATAAGAGCAACCTATGATTATTAATATGGAAACGATTGTAATAAAACATCTATTCCTATATAGTTATATACACAATGTCAAACGTGCAAAATAATTAATGTATTTCGATAAAAATTCCGAACCAATCTCTTCCAAAAATTCTAACATTCAACCAACGCTAATAAATTTCGATCGAGTTGCTAAACTCCATCGTAGCGATCAATGGGACTGTGAACAATCAATTAACAATCAATGGAAAAATGTCCACGAATTACCTTCTATTTAGAAGAAAACAATCAATTAAAAAAGAAAAGAAATTCTCACGAATTTCTGATCATTTGTAAAGAACCAATCTCCTATCAAGCGCTGAGAAATCAAATTGCCGATGAAGCTTATGACTCAGTGGTATAATCTCGTCATAATGGATATATAATACGTAGAGAGGCAACAGCCTTGTCCCCAGAGCGGGACAATCGATGAAAATTAATGTAACGTTAAAGAGTTTTGGTAACAACGAAAAGTATCGAGGGAGAGCCACGGTGGTGTGCAGACATCGCAGATGCTTCCTTGTCCGTATAACAATACCGCTTGAAATTATAGATTGCCGACGCGAAATTATCGATGGGTCGTTCCTCCAAAATAAAGGGAAGACCGCCTATTCGCGTGGTCTGCCATTGTCCAAAACCGCATTTACATCGAACAGGCGTCAGTTGCGAAGGCAAAACGCGACGATGCAACGCGTGCTGCTGGTTTTCGCTTTGTACACGGTGCCGCAGTTCATGAATAAAAATCCTTCGCGCGATTTCGTGTCCTTTCAGACGAGAAATTTTGCAGAATATAGGAAGAATATAAAAGTATAGAAACTTTGAAGAATGTCACATCAAAATGGAAAATTTGAAGAATACGGATAATAATATAATATATCTGTGTGTCGGGTATAGATCTGACGATATTTAATACAAATCCGAATGGATTCCGCTACTTTTATTTTTTAGTCATCGTATTATCGTTACATCGTATGATTAGACGAAGTAACGTATTTTGTGTTAGAGGTTCCAATTGAACGTAACAAGTAGATGACCTAATATTTATGGCCGACAGTGTATTTGTTCTGAAAATAATTGAAGCGCTTTCTACCAGGGAAAACTGATCTTGGCCCGCTAAAAATTTCATATGAAATTTTACTGCCGTATGAAAGAGCTTAGAGAAAGCAATCGAGCTTTAGAATAATAATAAGAAACGGCAGAATCTAGAAAATTAAGGGCTAAAGAATAAATCGATATCGTGTTTTTCCAACGAAGAAATGATCAAAGTATTGTAGATCTATAGGGGGATAGTCTATTTCTCGAAGATAATGAAACATTTGTCAGAGTTGTAATACTGTGATAACAGCGACAAAATGGGAGGAACTCTGGAAGTTCTGGAGTAGTAATAGTTCGAATAGCACGTTGCGGTATACCTTCTCGTACATTTATATAAGTACAGGTCGTCGATATAATAACACTCGACATTGTGCGTGTCGAAGCACACGGCATCGCCATATGCCATGCAGAATTACCGCAATTGCATGTTAATTGCGCGATAATCGATGAAAATATTGAATTCATTAAAAGAGGCGATCGTCACGAGCGACATGCCAATCTTCTGCGAGTTTACTCGTTTAAAAACGTATTAACAGATGTGAGTTCTATTTTCATGCGTTCTTTCACATGAAAAATATGATTCAACGTCCTTGTAAACATCCTGCTTTTAGTTAGTTAGTCAGATTTTAATCGTATTTAAATCGAATACCTTTGTAATCAATTACTGTTTTCTTGTAGCATTTCCTTTCTTAATAAGTTGATCGTATTTAAATCGTGTTACGATAAAAACATTTCAGAACAAACATTATGTTTCATGTAGCATTTAAGGACAAGTGAAGGTAAATGTATTCGGTGAAAATAATTATGACGCAGAAATAAATAGATCGAGTACTATACATCTAAATTGATTTTACATCAGGAAATAATTTAATGATATCGTAAAATAATTATTCTCAATTATTATTATTCTTCTATAATATTATGATTGAATAATACGATGATTCCGTCTTCTCCGTAAAATAATTTATATCGATCGATCTTAAGAATCTAAACCGCTTCAAAGATCTAAAACCTTGTAACATTTTGTGCGACTGACCATGTCCCTTCTCTTATGGATTTAACATTGACAATATTCTTTTCTCGATAAATATTATTTTGAATACCTCACACTGTTTTAACGACAAATCTTTAAAAACTGCGTTTCTAAATCTATCAGGTTCGTACTACGATTTCTTTCGTTCTAAATTAAGAAACACACATTCTTTTTCTTAACAAATGTAACATCGAATACTTCACGTCGTTTCAGCGGTACCCCGATTCAAATCAAAGCATGTACATAGTTAAATAAAGACAGGAAGAAACTATATAATAGCAAAACTGCGAATATTTGTGCAATTTTATACTTTTATCAATGTAACTAAAGAAATGAAACATGAATCGAAATTTATTTCATCTAATAAATATTATAATGAATACTTTATCTCTGAATGCTTCAAATATTCTTTCCTATTTCAATTTTCCATAGATGCATAGAAATTCGCTGTCTAGGACAATGCTTTTCACTATGTAACTCTACCTTATCTATAAAAATGTCTTTCCACTCACCATTGTTGGCACTGGTAGCGTTCGGTGTGGTTGGCATGGTGGGACTGGGCTGTTGCGCAGGTGGAGCATCCGGGTCGCTCATAACTTGGAAAACATCACCGATATCAGTGTGCGGTGTCTCGTTCCCTTGAATGCCACTTCGTCTGTGAAGTTGATGTAACTGCTCCATTTGAAGGTGTCTGAGTGATCGAACATGTTGCAACAGAGGCAATCTGTGTCTCGCGCTGAAGCCACACAAAGCGCAATGGTACAACTTCGCTTGGGATGGTACGTTGGCACTGGCCTCGAGCAGGTGACGAAGAAGTAGGGCTGCAGCCTCGTGCCTGGGTGACGCGGCATGCAGGGCCAATTTGTGAGCGCTGTTCGTGTAATAGTCGCACGCGTGACAACGTAATTGCGCGGCGCTCGTGGGCGAGGCCAGGTACTTCAACTTCCATTCGTTTCGAAGCCCGCCCTCTTTCACATGGTTTACATGCTGCAAACGTTGGAGATGCTTGTCTGTCTTGCAGTGCAATTGGAAGTTAGCTTTCAGGTTGGTTTTGTATGAACAAAGTTTACAAACGAAGTGGCCAGCTACGAGCGCGAGAATTTCTCCTTCTCGTGTCCTCGTTCTGTCCACAGCTAAATGGTGGCCAAGAGCTTCCAAGGAATCGGTGGCGAAATTGTTGCACACGCAGCAATGATACAGATGAGAAGGATCAGGATCAGCCGGTTCGGGTGGTGGATCCATGCTGTCTGGTGACAAACCAACGTCACCACCGAGGTTGCCCATGGCTCCCATACTAGCCATGCCACCCATAATTTCTGGTGGAAGCTGCGGTGGCAATTGACCACCCGTCATCATCTGGATCAGCAAAGCCTGATTGTAAGCCATGTCCGCGAGAGCCGCCTCCGCATGCTGAGGCTTATCCAGGCCACCCAAATGAAGTAGCTGTTCGATTTGTTGTTGATGTTGCTGTTGCGCTTGTTGATGGTGATGTTGTGCCTGTTGGTGGTGGGACTGGAGCGCGGACAGCGTCTGCATGTGCTTCACGTTCTGCTGCAGGACCAGCATATTGTGCGTATGCTTCTCGCTAGTCATGTGTATCCTTAGGTTCCGGGCGACATTCGTTTCGTAGTTACAGACGTCACAGCGAAATGTTGGCTTCGGTTTCCCTTGGTTCCCGGTCTGACCAGCGATGTGCGGACTGTGGTTCTGTTGGTGATGAGGACTTCTCGTTGCCATTTGTGCATCCTGCGAGGACGATGGATTGTTCGCTGCCGAGCCACCGCCGCCGCCCTGCTGCAGCTCCTGCATGTTATTCAAATGTTTGTCGCTCTGCATGTGAATACTCAGATTGCCCTTGGTCGTGGTAGAATAGTTGCACACTTCGCATCTGTAGGGCTTGTAACCGCAAGTGTAAGTCTCGCCACGTGCTAACCTAGGGTGTGGCTGTCCGGCGATGCAGTAGATGCAGGAGGTTTCACTTTCGGGATGTTTCTCCTTCATGTGGATTTCCAAAGTTTCTTGGTACTTGTAGTGCCAATTGCATTTCGGACACTTGAGCGTTTTGCAAGAGTTTCTACTGTGAATTCCAGCCAGGGGTCCGCCTGGGCCCGCCAATCTGCTGCTGGCTAGAATCAGTTCGCATTTGGGGCACTCCACTCCGCTCGGTCTTCCTTGCATGTGCTCGGGGCAGACACCGATGGTCGTGCCTGTGAGAAAATTCGGTGGTTGCTGGGTCAACGCGGCGTACGATGATGGCGAGCCTTTCGTCGACGAGGCAGGTGGCGGTGGTGACGTGTAGTGTATGGCGGAAGCGTCAGGTGCTTTGGCCCAGGAAGCGGCGCTCACCTGGGCGCCGGTCCACTGATGCTGCTGCGTTTGTTGATGATTGTAGGCGAGAGGATGATTCGAATGAGAAGTGGGAGTGGTGGGTGTGCTAGGTGACGGCCTCTGTGGTTGCTGTTGTTGTTGTTGCTGGGGACTGCTCGGTACTCCGGGAGTGCTGGCAGGCGTACTG